GTGAACGGGAAGTCTACAGCCTTGTGGCTGCATGCGGTGGTCCAAGAACAAAGACTGACCTCAGGCTAATGTCCAGGGATGCCTTTGAAGCTCCGCCCCCTGACCCTAGTCCCTCCCCTTGACCTGTTGCATAGGAGTTCATAGACTTATACAAGATACATAGAGAAATACAAGAGAAATGGATCTATGATCCAGAACAACAACACTATCAACCCGTCAGGCCCCAAGAATCAAGAAAGACACCTGGAGTTATTCTGAGCAATGATAGATAGATAGATAGATAGATAGATGGATGGATGGATGGATGGATGGATGGATGGATGGATGGATGGATGGATGGATGGATAGATAGATAGATAGATAGATAGATAGATAGATAGATAGATAGATAGATAGATAGATGATAGATAGATGATAGATAGATAGATGATAGATAGATAGATAGATAGATAGATAGATAGATACAGGGCTTTTTTTCTCGGAGAAAAGGTGGCGGAACTCAAACCTGGCCACGCCCTCATCAAACCCTAGGACCGCCCCTTTAGAGAACAGGAATGCAAGTAAAATTTGGGAGGGGCTATTTCCGGTGTGGGAGGGGCTAGTTCCGGTGCGGCCGGCCCGGAAAAAGGTGCCGGAACGCGGTTCCGCCGCGTTCCGGCTGAAAAAAAGCCCTGGATAGATAGATAGATAGATAGATAGACAGATAGACAGACAGATAAATAGATAGAGATATAGAGATAGTCAGATAGATAGAGATAGAGACATAGATAAAGAGATATAGACAGAGATAGATAGATAGATAGATAGATAGATAGGTAGATAGGTAGATAGGTAGATAGGTAGATAGGTAGATAGGTAGATAGGTAGATATAGACAGATAGATAGATAGATAGATAGATAGATAGATAGATGATAGATAGATAGATAGATAGACAGATAGACAGACAGACAGACAGACAGGTAGAGATAGATAGATAGATAGACAGACAGACAGACAGACAGACAGACAGACAGACAGACAAAGACAGATAACCTTTATTGTCATTTTTTACTGGGGGCACACAGTAATTTCATTAAAAATGAAATTCTGTTGCCTGCTCGCAAAGTGTACACATACATAGCACACATATAAACCGGCTACGTACAACATATGTATAAACCTACACCATTACATATAAATACATATAAATATGCCCTTCAAAAAAGTTTAAATCAGAGCTAATTAATTCCCCCCCCTCCTTTTTTCTTTCCCCTGCCTTCAGTTTCCCAATCCCCTTACTTCCCAGTGGTGGTTATGTATGTATGTGTGAGAGAGAGTGAGTGAATGAGAGAGCGAGAGAGAGAGCACACATTTAAGGGGATATATGTGTGACAAAGAGGATTTCCTGGCAATAAACTCACTGCTCAATAAAACACTGCCGCCATGACATAAAATCCTATTGTCTTCTCAGCCAATAAATTCTCCTCCTCGCTAGCCTTCACCCCAGCCGTCCCGCTAATGAAGAGGCCTGCTTTTTACGTTCTGCTCTGGCTGAGTCCTTTTAATGAATTTCTCTGTCCAGATTTAATTCTCGTCTCCTTTTTTAACTGCACAACTGACTACGACGTCAGAAAACGGTTTTAAAAGACTTTGTTCTTCGCCTCGCCTGGGGAAAGGGACTTGGGAGGTGCCAGATGTAGAAAAAGGAAAGAAGTATCTCGCTTAAGAATAAGGTTGTCTGTGCATCTGCAACCAGGATAATTGTGGCATGGTTGCTCGTATATCCGGTGAGTATGATTAAGGCATCTAATTTAAGACAGAAGGTAGAATGATAGGGCTGAAAGAGACCTCGGTGGTCTTTGGTTTTGGGTGTTAGCTTGTTTGGCAGTTCCTTGATTGGGGTATTACTTCTTGTCTGTTGGTAGGACATTCATCTTGGTGTTGATCTATGCTCATCTGGGTGTATCAATAAAGGAGAATATTCATAGTTCAGGGTTGAAATGAGGGGTCCTTGGTGCTCTCTGAGCTTGGTGGTTTTCTTGCAGATGTTTCATGACCCAAACTAGGTAACATCATCAGTGCTAGAAGGGATTTATGGAGAGGAGGAAGGAGGGAGGGAGGGAGGAAGGAAGGAAGGAAGAAAAAGAAAGAAAGAAAGAAAGAAAGAAAGAAAGAAAGAAAGAAAGAAAGAAAGAAAGAAAGAAAGAAAGAAAAAAAAAAAAGAAAGAAAGGACTATGGGGTCCTGGGTGCTCTCTGAGCTTGCTTGTTTTCTTGCAGACGTTTCATTACCCAAACTAGGTAGTATCATCAGTGCTAGAAGGCAGTGAAATTTATGGAGAAGAGGGAGGGAGGGAGGGAAGGAAGGACTATGGGGTCCTAGGTATTCTCTGAGCTTGCTTGTTTTCTTGCAGATGTTTCATTACACAAACTCAGTAACATCATCAATGCTAGTCTATGTGTCTATCAGTGTTAGCACTGACGATGTTACCTAATTGGGTAATGAAATGTCTGCAAGAAAAAAGCCAAGCTCAGAGAGCAGCAAGGCCTCACAGTTGTCGTCCTCCTCTTCCACCACCACCATCATCACCACCACCATCTTCTCCTAAAACTGATGATGCTATCTAGTTGGGTCATGAAACGTCTGCAAAGAAACAACCAAGGACCCCACAGTCTTCCTCCTCCTCCTCCTCCTCCTCCTCCTCCTGCCCCTGCAAACCCCACTCCTTTCTAGCTCTGATGATGCTACCTAGTTGGGTCATGAAACATCTGCAAAGAAACAACCAAGCTCAGAGAGCACCCAGGACCCCACGGTCGTCACCCTCCCCCTCCTTTTTTTTTTTTTTTTCTTCTTCTTCTTCTTCTTCTTCTTCTTCTTCTTCTTCTTCTTCTTCTTCTTCTTCTTCTTCTTCTTCTTCTTCTTCTTCTTCTTCTTCTTCTTCTTCTTCTTCTTCTTCTTCTTCTTCTTCTCCTTCTCCTTCTCCTTCTCCTCCTCCTCCTCCTCCTCCTCCTCCTCCTCCTCCTCCTCCTTCTTCTTCTTCCTCCTCCTCCTCCTCCTCCTCCTCCTCCTCCTCCTCTTACATTGCCTTTACTATCAAATCAATACTCAAGGGATCGTGTTTAGTTGCAGCAAGTTACAGCTCTGTCCCTAAAGGCAGGTCCCACACGTTCTTACCTCAACACAGTTGTCACAAACGCTGCAATGGGAGCAGCGTGGAGGGCGGTAAAAGTGGCAGGTGGCGCACCATTTCATCCGAACTTGGATTCCTTTGATCTCCACGTTCTTATAGAGTGGGGCTCGGAAGTCGTCATCTTTGTCCTCGTCTTCGTCAGCTGCTCGGTGGTCGGCCAACACAAAGAAACAGTGAGCCAAGACACAACGTTCTTTGTACGGGTAACCCTTGTTTTACAACAGTTTGTGTAGTGACCGTTCGTGGACACGACGTCACTGAAAAAAGTGACTTATGACTGTGTTTTCACATGACCGTCGCAGCCTCCCTGTGGCCACGTGATTAAAATTCAGATGCTTGGCCACTGACTCGTATTTGTGACACTCGCAGTGTCCTGGGGTCACGCGATCCCCTTTTGCGACTTTCTGACAAGCAAAGTCCATGGGGAGGCCACTTAACAATAGTGTTGTTAATGCTGCAACGGTCATAAGTGTGAAAAGCAGTCATAAGTCACTTGTTGCAGCGATGTTGTAACTCTGAACAATCATTAGATGGATTGTTCAGCACAGGGGTAGGCAACCTTGGCTCTTTTATGACTCATGGACTTCAACTCCCAGAATTCCTGAGCCAGCCATGCTGAGGGGAAAGGGAGAGGTTTCCAAGCTGAACCATGCTGGCTCAGGAATTCTGGGAGTTGAAGTCCACGAGTCATAAAAGAGCCAAGGTTGCCTACCCCTGGTCTAGGAGACCAATGTCTTAATTTCCATCACTCTAACCCAGGGCTAGGCAACCTTGGCTCTTTTATGACTCGTGGACTTCAACTATAGTTTTTTTCATCTGCCTCAAATGTCTAACTATCAATATCACTGGATGATCTGGTTGTGGGGGGGGTCCAATTATATTCCAGCTGGTCATTTTTAACTTTGCGGTTCTGGGAAGCCAGACACCCAGGTCTTATTTCTTCAGCCCAATCACCCTTGATGTATCTTGGGCTGTGTTCCCGCGAAAACATGTTCCAACTCCGATTTGCCAAGACTGTTTACGTGTACATCTGCCAATCCAAAACCCGGCAAAGAGCACCCCCCCGAACACCCCCACGCAGCTGACAAGACTCTGAGTCACCGGCCACAACAATCACAAATTGCCAGAGAAGAACAAAAGCATCCAAGGAATGAATTGAGCACATTCAGGCCCTGAGCATGGACTTGGCTAGCGTGTACTGCAAGAAGGAGATTAGGAAATCTAGAGACTTATAGAAGCCACCAAATAAGTTTAGAGGAAATCTAAAGCAGGGGTCCCCAACTCCTGGTTCGTGGACCGGTACTGGGCCACGACATGCCAGCAACCGGTCCGCACAAACAAGCAAAGCCCCATCCGCGGGATGCAGGCAGCACATGAAACCACGCACTCTCCGGTCCGTGGAAAAACCTCTCACCACGGAACCGGTCCCTGGTGCCCAAAAGGTTGGGGACCTCTGATCTAAAGGATAACAATAAGGCACAAAGACACCGCAGGGTGTGGATAGACAACCAGATGGTGGTCACATGACCCTAGGACATTGCAACTATCATAAATACGAGTCAGTTGCAAGCGTCTGAGTTTCGATCACGTTTTGACCACGGCGATGCTGCGATGGTCGTCCGTTTGGAAAACGGTCATAAGTCACTTTTTTCAGTGCTGTCGTAACTTCGAAGGGCCACTAAATGAACTGCTGTAAGTCAAGGACTACTTGTAGCTGGCTGGAATGCTGCTGCAGGTCTTTTACAATGCCTAATGTCCCTTCTACCACCGGCATCCTGGTTGGGAAGCAATGCCCCAGCTGATCACCTGAAAGGCATCTAATTTATTCCTCTGCCTGCCTTTATTATTTTATTTATTTCCAGAGGGATTAGTCATTTTCTCTCCCTTCAAAACTTAATCGATCAATTGAGACAGATTGCATTGATTACATTTTGAAGGGAGAGGAAATGAGACTGCAGGAGGAGGGATGGCAAAACCAGGGGGGACAGAGTAAAAAGGGGGGTCAGCCTAGAATCCCTACGTAGCCACAAGCTAAACTAAACCCAACCCTTCTTGAGTACCGTTGACCCTTATTTAAATTTTAGCAAGTTAGCTGAGAAGATTCCTGTGTGTAGGCCAGGGGCAGGCAACCTTGGCTCTTTTATGACTCGTGGACTTCAACGCCCAGAATTCCTGAGCCAGCCATGCTGAGGGGAAAGGGAGAGGTTTCCAAGTTGAGCCGTGCTGGCTCAGGAATTCTGGGAGTTGAAGTCCGCGAGTCATAAAAGAGCCAAAGTTGCCTACCCCTGATGTAGGCTTTTAGCAATAAATCACTTTAATTGAACCTTCTCATGTAACAAAAGTGCTGTTGATATTCCCTGGGCTTTAATGAAGAAAACCCAGGAAAAAAAGAGAGTGAATTTGGCCAGATATAGACTGATTATCTGTCCCCCAAAAGAATCTTTTGGATGATGTAAAGAGGAGACACCTTCAAGGGCACCACTGATCTTGAAACATCCAATGGGGAGGCCCCGTGGATCAATGCAAAGATTTCCTTCTACAGAACCACCAAAATGGACAAATGGGTGTAGGAGAAGGAGAAGGAGTGGCAGAACCTGGGAATGGCGTGAAAAGAGGGATCAGCCTAGAATCCCTACGTAGCCACAAACAAAGTTCAACCTCTCCTGAGTGCCGTTGACCCTTAGCTAAATCTTAGCAGTTCAGCTGAGAAGATTCCTGTGTGTAGACATTTAGCAATGAAATAGTTTAACTGAACCTTCTCGGCTGGACCTGGTCCTTCGCACGCCTGACACAGAGAGGCTTGTAGTTCCTACAAAGTCATCAGCATTTGGTAGGCATTTTACAAGAAATGGTAGGCTAGGCCTTCCTTCCTTCCTTCCTTCCTTCCTTCCTTCCTTCCTTCGTTCCTGCGCTTCTGCAACTCCCCACTTCCCGATTTACCTCGTGGGAAGACTCCCGGGTCCATAAATGTGGCCATACTGAAGTTTGCAAGCACAAACAGGAATACGAGCCCATTGTAGAGTGGAACGGCTGGGGAGATGGCTCTGGTCAACCACGGGCACCTGGATAAAAGACGGACAAAAAACGAGAATGTTATTTGTCAAGCGCCACAGCTGACACTTTCCCAACGAAGGGAGCAGAAGCCAGGTTAGTTACGTCACTGCAATCTTTTCCCGCTTCTAGTTTCTTGGACCAGTTCTTTGTAACTGGAAACTCTCGGCCTGATCACCTTGTGTTTGGCTTCCCCATGGACTTTGCTTGTCAGAAGGTCTGCAAAAGGGGATCACGTGACTCCGGGACACTGCAACCATCATAAATACAAGTCAGTTGCCAAGAGTCTGAATTTTGATCACCTAAACACGGGGATCCTGCAACGGTCCTAAGTGTGAAAAACAATCCTAACTCTCTTTTTTTGGGGTGTTGTCGTAACTTTGAACTGTCACTAAATGAATGTAAGTCGAGGACTGCCTGCGTTTAGGTTCGTGAGCTTTGAATCCACAAGCAGGAATTATAAATGGTGTTTGCCCCTGTCCAGTAGCCAATTCAATGTATATTTGCAAGCAGTGATCCCCGTGAAACACAAAACTCTCATGGACAGGGATTGAAAAAAAAAAAAAGTAAAAAGGATAGTAATTTACAAGAGATGGGGTGGATGGGGAGGGGAAATAAATCACTGCAGAATGTTCTAAGCATTCCTTTTATTTCTTTATGTTCTTCTGGTGTGCAACTGGGCTGGAGGTGAAAGGTCAGCGTATCCGAAACAATTGTAAGCGAGGGTCAGTCTACGTCTACGTCTTAATTGGCTTGGCAGTGTAAAATGAATAGGGTGTTTGTAGGAGTTGAGCAAAGTTTAAATAAAGGACACAGTGAATAATTATAAGCATCGGCCAGATGTCCCGGTCCCCACCCTATTGCTGTTTCTGGTGTAATTTGCTTTCTGGACACCTTTTTTTTTTTTTTAACCAGCTCTCAAAGCAGGGTGACAACTTAGGATGTGCAAAAACCTTTGTAAAATAAACTGCCTTGGGGAAGGGTCCCTTTGTAAAAAATAATTCCGTGAATTAAAGGACCAGAATCCTTCATTTTATAGAAGTGAAAGCGTTTTGTTCTTGGAATCGTAGAAGCTGACGGTAACTTTATACTTCAGGGAGGCAAGTCGTCAAGCAGAAAACAATACACCAATCAAGGAACTAGCAGGGAGAAAACCCTAACCTCAACCCAGGCCAGCAGGGCAAACTACTGTATGTGAACAGGGAGCAATCCCCACACTCAGTAGCACTGATGATGTTACCTGGTTGGATAATGAGATGTCTGCAAGAAATCAATCAAGCTCAGAGAGCACCAAGGACCCCACAATCTTTCTCATCCTCCTCTCTGCAAACCCCACTCCCTCCTTCTAACACTGATGATGTACCCTAGTTGGGTCATGAAACGTCTGCAAGAAAACCACCAAGCTCTGAGAGCAGCAAGGACTCCATAGCCGTCGTCGTCATCCTCCTCCTCCTTCTCCTTCTCCTCAAACCCTACTCCCTTCTACAACTGATGATATTACCTCGTTGGGTCATGACACATCTCCAAGAAAGCCACCAAGCTCAGACAGCACCAAGGACCTCATAGTTCAACCCTGAGCCGCATATATTCTCTTCTACTGAAACTGTATTTTTATTAAGTTCATCAAAACATCAGATTTGCCTCTCCTTACTGTGATTTTTTGGGGGTGTGGTGGGAGGGAAGAAACTCCTAATACTCCATGGCCACCAACATCTGATTACAAAGGCCTAATAGTTCTTCAAAGAGCAGAGTGACATATTTCTTTTTTCCTACCCACCCTTGGAAATGTTGCAACCTCTGTGTTGACTAAATGCCATTGCCGTGTTGTCTTTATTTTGTCTGCAGCGCTGGCAGCCTTTAGCCCAATCTCTCTCTCTCTCTCTCTCTCTCTCTCTCTCTCTCTCTCTCTCTCTCTCTCTCTCTCTCTCTCACACACACACACACACACACACACACACACACACACACACAGAGCCCACTTTGCTTCAGGAAATGTCACCTGGTGGTTAAAGCTTGTTAAATCCAGATTTCTCCCCCCCTTGTTTTACGGAGCCCATCAAATCAACGGAGAACAATGGCCTTGTTCCATCCAACAGTGTAGACAACTTCCTGAAGCAACAAGCAATAAACATACATAGCGTGTAACTTCCCACCTGCCTCAAATGAGGTTTGGGGAAGCTCTCTTCTTTAGCCTCACAACAATCTTGTAGGCTAGCTTAAGATGGGATCAGCCCAGGAATCCAGGACAATCAGGATGAAGGAGATTTAAAACCTCATGGGTTCTCCCTGGTACATGAAGGAAGGTGTCCCTTCAGAATAACACAGTTGGAAGGGACCTTGGAGGTCTTCTAGTCCTGCTCAGACAGGAAACCCTATACCAATTTAGACAAATGGTTGTCTAGTCTCTTCTTGAAAACGTCCAGTGATGGAGCCCTCACAACTTGTGGAGACCAGCGGTTCCCTTCTTCAGCCAGCATTATCCTCAGAGATCTTCTGAGTGGCGGCTGAAGGGTCTCTAGAGATGAATCTACGTATTTCAATATAAAGCACCCACACGCTTCAAGGGGTCGCTTCTATCCTCAATTTCTCTGGAAATTTCCCCTCTGGGGAAACATCTTGCCAACTGCTCAAGAAAACAATCAGGAGAATGTGTTTGGAGCTATCAACCAAGATTCCTTGGAACAACCGGGGAGCTGTTAATTTCTCTCCGTCGAGTTTTGAATAGTATGTGTGTGTGTGTGTGTTTGCGTGCGTATATTAGACACACCAGCTCCACCATAAAACCTTCCTTTGTACTTCTTAGGAAACACATTGTGGGCTTTTTGGATTGAGCCAGTTTCGGATGAAAAAGGGGAAGTCAGCACTATTTTTTGGCTGCGGTCCTTCTTTTAATAAAAAACAACAACTCAGTGTTCGAATCTAAATGATCAACTAGCCTGTAGCTACCATGAAAATATCCTCAGATGTGAATGGTTTGAAGCTCCCCAACTGGGTTTAATGTTATTGATGGCTCAAGTTTAGTATTCGGATCCCAATTACTAACCTAGAATGATAGTTTCTCCTGATTCACCCACGATCATCCCAAGCTATTATGTGGTTTCTTTGTTTATGGTTTAGCAGGAAACGCAAAAACCTTATAACAGGGGTCTTCAAACGTGGCCCTTTGATGATTTGTGGACTTCAACTCCCAGAATTCCTCAGCCAGGCATGCCTGGCTGAGGAATTCTGGGAGTTGAAGTCCACAAATCATCAAAGGGCCACGTTTGAAGACCCCTGCCTTATAATATGGCTTAGTTCAATTGTGAACACCACTGCTTCCGTGACTTTGCCTCTGGGCCATGGATGGAATCAATCCCCAAGAGATTGGATTTTATTCCTGCTCAATTCCGGGTCAGTAAGAATCAAATCAATATCAGCATGAAAGCCACGGTATATGTAGCCAAGAATTTGAGCCTTCTGTCATGTAAAAACAATAAAACAATAAGAGAGTGGGTGGTTTGGTCCTGTTGGACAACCTAAGTTTGACCTCCATATTTTTGTGGGGCCCTACACAAGATTTTGTCTAGTGGTTAAGGCACCAGGCTAGAAAGCAGACTGGGTAACTTTGGGCCAATCACCAAGAGGCTGGGAGTTCTAGTCCCGCTTTCTGCATGAAAGCCGGCTGGGTGACTTTGGGCCAATCACCAGGAGACTGGGAGTTCTAGTCCCACCTTGGGCATGAAAGCCAGCAGGGTGACTTTGGGCCAATCACCAGGAGACTGGGAGTTCTAGTCCCACCTT